CGTCGACGTTCGTTGAAGGCGAGGCGTCGACGTTCGTTGAAGACGGAAGGGCCTGGCGTGGTTTTCCATATGAAGTACCGCACTGTGGCGTATTTTGTCGCTACCGAACGATTGGACGAGTCGCGTCCGAAAATTCGACGAGAAGTCGGTGATACGTCGACTCACCGACGATTGGCCGGGCTGTCGCTATTCGGATGCTACCGTGGATGTTATCGGCCACCTTGATCAGGGTCCGCTTATTTAAACTGGTCGGGGGAGAGTCGGAAAATTCAAATTCGTTTTTGTCCGACGGTTGCACGTAGCGGCGACATTGTTTTGCTCGGAGTTTATTTGTTCTTACATTACGCGTATCCTAACGATCTTGAAACTCCGAGGCAAAACAACAACATGATTCGTATTGTCCTTTAACTCATGTGCCGCTACAAGTTAAACAGTATCGTGAAAACGCTGTTGTCCTTCTCGCACTCGATGCCACATAAGTAACTTCTAACAGTATTCGACTACTTTCGTGAACCACTGTGTGTTCACTTTGCCAAGGTATAAACCTTGTAGACAGGACATAAACGATCGTATCGAGTCGAGTATAACGATCTTCTTGGGATTTCAGGCAAAATCTGGTTGGTCTTCGGTAGAACTGGAAGACGCAGTGCCTCTACTTCTCTTTTTGATCTCGTCTTATCTAGTCACCTGTTTGGTGTTATTAGTCGAACGAATAGTGTCCCGCAATCGAGAGCAACGATCTCGCGGCGATCAACGGTTTACGGGAAATTAGTCAGGCGGATATTTGTCGGATTATGCGCGAATCGTCCTCTCGTGCCGACGCGTTATCAAATTAGTACGTAAATATAAACAAAGCCACAGTTGTGCGCGTTTCCCCGGAGCGATCGGATAAGATCGAATAGAAGACAGTTTCTGAAAAGAAATTCTGAGAATATTTTGTAGAAAATCGGCATAGATGGCTCACGTGGGACAAAACGCGCGCTTCTTAAAAACGAAGATCCCGACTAAGGAAACTGTGCCATCGAGTGAAAAGGAAAATGTGGCAACCGGTAAAAAGAAACCATCGATCTCGCGCGATACGCGCCACGCTTTAGGCTCGAACGAAGAACGAAGAAAGGGAACACCTTTGAGAAACGAAGATAGCCGAGTGAGCCGCGAGCTTGAACGAAGCGTACGAGCGAAAAAGACACCGTTTCATATACATTTCGATGAGAAAAATATCGCTTCGAAGTCGAGCGTTGCTTCGAAGTCGAATGTCGCTTCGAAGTCGAGCGTCGCTTCGAAGTCGAGCGTCGCTTCGAAGTCGAGCGTCGCTTCGAAGTCGAATGTCGTTTCGAAGTCAAGTGTCGCTTCGAAGTCGAGTGTCGTTTCGAAGTCGAATATCGCTTCGAGGTCGAGTGTCGCTTCGAGGTCGAGTGTCGCTTCGAGGTCGAGTTGCCCTCCGAGGGTAAATTCCAATTCGAAACGAGTATTGTGTCACTTGAAAATCGAGTCGAAAGTCACGTCATCCTACGGAAGAAATGATCCTAAACAGGTAAACGAGACAACGAGCCTCCCTGTTCGTCGAATTAAATCAAAAAAGATTGAAATGTCGAACGAATTGTTTGGAAAAGGACACTCGGTAGAGGAGCTACGAATAGAACAGCTTCCGCCATCTAAGATACCCCGTCGCAGATCTCGTTCCGTTCAGCCGGTGCGAACCGTCACACATAATACGTCGCAACGTTCATCTTCGACAGATTGGCGCGGCAAAAGTTTTGGATTCGGGTCGGTTAATAAATACGCGATTCTAAATAAATCAGTATCGAGGCCAATAGAAAAAATAACTGTAACTCTAGGATCGACAAACAAGGTCAACGACAAAAGGTACGACTACGTGATATTTCTATCTTTTTTGCTCGATACGTTACGCGTTCACGTTTTACGGACGCGGCCTTTAATTTCTGACAGAAAACAAATTTTGACCAACTCACCGAAGATCGCTCGAGAAAAGGAAACGTTGCTGACTATAAAAACAGCGACGCCTGCCGACGTATCATTCCTACCGCCACCGCCAAAGACTCCTATCAAGGTAGACAATCGTTAAATGTTTTTTTCAAATAACACCTGTCCCATCGGAATGGAACTTGCCGTCAATGATCGAACGTACGAAATCTCAGTTTTGGTCATGTTCGTATTCGCAAGATACAGACAGTTGCGCGCAACTCGAGACACAATTGATTTAACCCTTTCGCTTCGGCAGTCCAATCCGCCGAAGTACTGTCACTGAATGGAAGCGCGCGCCAGAAATGCGCACAGTGTGCGTGGTTGCTGTATATAAATTTTCCTAAGTCTTAAATAACAATAATTCTTGTAAGAACCGTATATGAAATATCGGTTCACTGTTAATGGATTTAACAGATTTTTTAATACGAAACAGTATACGATCGTTTGGATGTTTGAAATATATCGCGTAAGACGTTTCGATGAACAACACTGTTTCAACACTGAGTAACTTTTAAGAAGCGAAATCCAATATATCGATAAAATCAACGGAAAATGTTCTGTCGATAACGAAAACATATATTATTGACTACAGATGGCATTGGTGAATGCCCGATGTACGAGCTGCCGAACCTAGGATTCGTCGCGTAGTCGTCGCCTGTATGCGGCGCTCCTACTCACAGATCATTTCATAGGTGTCATCTATAAGTGTGACGCTCATATTTACGGGTTATCTCGCAGGCGCCGCTTATAAGCGGCATTCGAAGCGAAAGGGTTAAACGAAGAAAGACAAGTTAAGGCGCTCTTTTACGTGAACTTTTATTTTTAAATAAATTGTTCGAGTGTATATACGTTCGACCATATTCGTACATAATTAAAATCGTATAGATTCGTACATAATTTTTTTTGTCTAAATATCTATAATTTATACGTATACACATGAACGATATATTAAGAGGTCGAAATTTTGTTCTCAACACCTGCAGAGTTTCTCCGCGTTTACTGGTGCGTCTTCATAATGACACGCTATTTCTCACCCTTGATTTTTCCTGTTCATTTACATTTCGACCCTTCGTCTCTCCCTACCCCATTCATCGAGTTTCCCCTAATCGGTTATCGTTACTATTCAGATATATACTCACTTTCCAACTCTCACAAATACGCTCCATCTAAAAGACTCAATCTATTTGTCTACTATTTTCAATTTAAATTTTAAGGTGGTGATTCAACGGACCAAGTATAACAGAAGCGCAGTTAAGGGCGAGCTACTGGAATATCGAAAAGATTTCAAAGAAGAAATCGATCTTTCCCCCCCCGAATTACTGTATCATGGAGAATATCACGATGAATTGCCGATGATCGAGCGTGAAAGGGAGCGAAAAGCACCGCAATTGTCGAATAGTTTCTTAACGAGGCACATCAACGCGGAGCAGAGGAGGCTGGTCGTCATTTTTATAATACGTCTTGGAGTGAGTAGAGCGAAAAAAAAAAAAAAATGGCGCAATCGTCGAATGCACGTGTACTCCTCTCGTTTGTCCTTTTCTAAACCATTTTAAGCACAGTGACAGTGTCGTTGTTCGTCTTCCGGCGAGTAATAATTTAATATCGAAATAATTTTAAAAACAACAAGAACAGAGAAGATGGCGCGCGTGTATTCGACGATTCTACCGATTTTTCCATAACCTATGAACGAACACGTGGTCTTCCTATCGCTACGTAGTACTTTTACCCGGAAACTTTTACCTGATTGTAGTCATCAGGGTGGTCGTTATTCGAGTTTGTAGAATGAGAAATTTGAAAAACTAGGAGAGAATTTGGTTAGATGTAATTTATAAAATTATCAGAAAAAAGTATACAAAAAGCAAATATAATAACATTCGATAATATTTTGCAAAAATTAAATGTTATGGTATAGTACAGCGGCTCTTAACTTTTATCGCTTTAAATAATTTTCTGTCTCTGTTCTATAATTCTTTTTATTATATTTATATCGAGTGAAATTATGAAAACCACTCAAAACCCGTAAAATATGCCAAATATGTATAATTAGAAGTTGCGTTAACTCCCGCGTCCATTAACGTCCTTCCTGAAGAGAAAACATTCGTTACAAATAAATAAATACACATAGTACACATTTTTTAGTCTAATAATATAATAATAGCTTGCACGCGTGAGAAGTTCGTAGCCACGTAGCCGAATGTTCGCAGACTACGAGTTAAGAACCGATGGTGTAATATGTATTTCGATCTATCGCGGTTTCTAGAGCAAATAACATAAAATTTGAGTGGCAGTGAACGTCTTATCGAGCGTTACCCTCGTACTAGGATCTTCCTCAGCACGTCAGACGATCTTCCATGATCTCCCTCGAATATGACTGTTCCTATTATCTGCATTCTTGTTCTTTCTTGAACGATAAAAACTCCTTACTTTCTCTCGGCTACGAATCAATGTCGAAATTACAAAATCACCTAATCCAGACATATCATGTCGTTTCCATTTTATCTTCGCGTGTCTTCGTTAAAGCGTCTTGGTTTTGTTCTAATAGAAACAACTCTGTGTAGCATTGCTTCTGGTAATTGACGTCTCGCACGTTACGCATACAATGACAAATCTCGTTATTGTTGGTAGATACACTGCCGATATCCGTCGCGCATCGTGTATCAATCAGTGAAGCTGTTCGACGCCGTTATGGACAAGCTTTCCGTGGATACGACGATGATCCAATTGTACGCGTTGGCCAGTTTGTGGATCGTGCTCAAGAGACAAGAGAAATTTCATAAGATTCCGTCGGTAAGCGACTGGGACTATTCCTCGCAAACATTTTCTTTATTTTACGCTTTGGTTGTTTATACGCAGGCTGCGAAGATGGTGTCCCTCGCCAATGATCTTTACATAGGAAGAGAGGACTTGTTGGTCGATTGCGAGAGGAAGATTTTGAAAATACTTAATTTTAACATCACGTTCGCCGATACGTTTAGCCTTTTTACGCATCATTTCATCAGCTGCGAGCATTACATCAACATATCCGAGGAAACTGGAACCTTTCTATACAATTGCGGCTGCTACATGGTGAAAATCTTTTTTTTTTATTATTATTTCGTTTCTTATTTATTCGATCCTTAAGTTGATTTTATTAGGCCCTTTATGGCTCTATGCAGCTTTAAATGGAATTTTACTTAACACATAACTTGTTGTTCTCTTCGTGAATGTTTCAGATCGACATCACGCTTCTGGACGAGCGATTTTGTAGAATATCCGCAAGATTGATCAGCATAACAGTATTAGAGTTGCTGCTCGGTATCGGTTTGGACGTCGCAAGGGACAATACTACACCCCGATGGTTGTTCTGGAGAGGTTTACTATCCGCCGTTCTTAGTTCGCCCCAGAGGTTAACATCGCTTTCGCAACTCCATTTATCCGAACTTGTCGAGAGAGAGAGAATAATTTACATAATTGGAGTTGTATGTACAACTAATATAATATCAGGCGATTATTTTCAGGTTAGAAGACAAGGCGATCGATTCACTTCGTGTTATAATATTGCGGCGCGTGTTAGATTCGGAAATGCAGCAGGACAGTTTCAATGTGGTATACAAAAAATACAGTCGCAGCAGATACGGTCGGATATCAAAACCTTTCCTGCAGCAGGTTACCAGGATACCTGCCACAGAAACTATTTTCGATCCGTAGAATTGATTTTTATTGGTAAGACTGATCTTTATTTATTTTTAATTACCATTTTGATTATTCTTTTTAATCATTTTGATTATATTTCGAATTTAATTGTATATTTATTTACTTTATTTTACTCTTGTTATTATTTGTTATATGTGGTTCTCGCCTATTGGCGTAGGATTAACTTCCGGCTTTACATTGTTCTCGATTCTGATGATTTTGTGTCATGATTTCGTTTCATATTTGTAACTTTCTGGTACAAAGAGAAGAAATGCAGATTGTTGTTAAAACGAATAAAATCAATTATTTGCTATGCTATTTTATTGTATCGTTAAATATACAGCGTCACGTCCATCTGAAACCTGCGACGAGGAATAGTGTCTCTCAAGCTTCATGCTAAGCCGTAAGTTTGTTGGGTTTGTTGCCAATCGTTCCACTTGTTCCACGTTTTGTTCACTGATACGAGACCCTTTGCCTCGTTCTGAAATCGAGAAAGTTCAAAATCGATTGGATACTTGTCCTAGCGTAGAAGTACTACGTACAAAACTCTAGCGCTTGTTTCTTAGCTCTCGTATTTTCTTTAGCGCGCTACGTTTCACATGCTTTCATACGGATTTTATAAAACCATCGTTATCACGCTACCGAACAAGTCGTGGAAGAAAATACGCGAAGAAAAAATTACGAAATAAAGCATTTAAGTTTACAGAATTTTCAGTTCTACATAAAAAGATTATCGCTGATTTTTGGGAGAAAAGAGGAGGAAAGCTGATTACCCTGAACAGTATATTCGATCGGTCGGACCAAGTGCCGAACAGGTGCAGAAGATCGGGCCGCTTCGAGTACAGGCCACTGGCGGCTAATATACCATGAGTGAGCTCTTCCAAAGCGGTCGCGGTTTTAGCAGCCGAGCTGACGATCAGCCTTGGTGGCTCCAGTCCTAAGTTGCATGTCTGCCATTCGTTGATAGCAGCGCGTCCTCCATTCGGGCAAAGTAACTCTATCTTTGAAGAGTCGACGTCGCTCAACAAAGCTGGCGATGGCAGGAATGCGACATCTCCCTTGTCTTCTAACAAGCAACTAAATGTGACAGAAAAAAGAAGAAAAAGTGAAAAACAAGAATTATAAAAGATCTTGCAGATCAACGCAACATATTCGCGACGTCGTATGTATTTTTGTTCATAACAGCGTGAAAAATTGTACATTTCTAGCGTTTTTACCGCGGTGAATTTTATTTACATGCCAAGACGACACTCTCGCTCGAAAACGTTAGAATATTTTCTTCTTTGAGGAAACATTTGATATTTGATATTTCGTGTATTTATGCGCGATTGCGATCAATCAGTTTGGGAGTTTATCGACTTACGCGAGAGCACCCTTGCCGCCGATGTACGCTTCCTCGTTATTTGGCTTGCATTTGCTCGCTTCTCGGATTCGATCGTCCTTGCTCGCCGAGTTTCCAACGCATTGTTGACACAGTGTCGACTCGATTGGCGCTCCAGGGGCACACGATGCCGTGAAGAAATTGGCTAGATCGTCCTCCGAAGATATAAACTTTTTATGTTTCAATACATGCGACGGTGCTGTCCAACCGGCAAAGTCACCCTTGTATCCACTGTGGCAAGATTTCTTGCCCTTCAGATCATCTGAAATCAATTCAACAAACGACAATGAGTACAGCCGATTATCTTATCACATAGATAAGCCGATACTATGTCACGTGTTATTATATATCCTGTATGGGTATCATGATTCATGATACATTACTATATCGTTATCACAACACTGTTATTCCTAATTCATTAAAAAATTTCTCATTCGATTCGGTGATGACAGTGAAGTATCAAAATTGAATAGACCTGTAACTTTTAACCTATCGTCCGATGAAAGGATGAAATCTTTTTCTATTATTATATAATATAATAATATTTTCCATTCATACTGCGTATATAAAACAGAGATTTTTGAGAAACGACGCTTTTTAAGATATTAGCCGGGAATAACGCTTCTTATTTCTTACCAATTTTGTTTATCGAAGAAGATTTCTTGATAACTGCCACTGCTGCTCTCTCGCCGAAGTCTGTGGAACCTGGGCCGTACGATTCCGCGATTATGGGGATCGCGTTAAAGTCCTTGATCGCGTGAGAAGCCCAACCTCCTTCGATAACCAATAATTCCGCGTTACCTATCTTGATGGCTTTCAAGCAGTCGTCTTGACTCTTTTCGAGCAGACACTCGAACTTTGGCCTGACATCTCTGACGAAACACGAAAATGAACAACGATAAATCCTCCAATTATCCTATTTCAGATTAAAACGATAAAATTCGAAGATCAACATCACAACCTACCAATTTACCGATATTATCGGTCGATAAATTATCGTGTAAAAGCAGAAGAGCGAACGTGATTTACCTCGAGTACGCTGCTTTTGCAAGAGCATTGCACTTGTCAAGAGCGTTTTTGGACCAGACGCACCATCGAGCATTTTTGTCTGTAGCTCCAGAGTTTCTTTCGATCACATCAAGATATTTTGCGTCTTTCAAGTGGTTCGCGGGCAATACCGGTGACGCGGGGACTGCTAAAGTCTTTTCGTCCAGTAGCATGATGTCTTTCCACCAAGCTGCCTTTTCTTCCTCTCCTAGTTTACCAAGATCAGTCAATTCCTGCACGATCAACAATGTGTTCAAATGTTAACCAACGAGATTTGCCGAGGAAGAAGAAAAATACGAAAAAGAAATATTTCTGGGTAGCCACTATCGTGTATTACGTGTATTACGATTACTATCGAAGATTCTGGTAGCTTAAAACTGGCCGCGGTAGATTTCATTGATCGGACCAAAGCATTACCGAAAAAGTACTCGGCAGTTGCGAGAACTCTTGAATGCTTTTTCGATATTATACTTCTTAGTAGATCTCAGTAAGTTGTTTCTATAAGAAAAAAAGGTAAGAAAGAGCGGAGAAAAGCTATTGAAAACTACTAAAAGGTATAATAATACCGAAGAGGTACCCGATATTACCGACTGTTAGTATTTCCCCGGTAATGATTTGGTATCCCACTGCTAGGTTCCAGCTACGAGCTACAAGTTTTAATAACTTAGAAATATGACCCAGGGATACTATTATGCGCTACTTGTCATTACTGATCGCTACTAAACTCTCAGCAGTATTTACGATTATCAGAATCCAATGATACGACACTCAGAATCAGTATTGATCAGTTAGTAGTACACATATTCTTCTGCAAGGAAAAGAAAGGAAAGAGAAAAAGAAAAAGGAAGGGGGAAATTAAAAAAAAGTAAAAAGGAACCTTTTGAACCGCTTCTACGTCCTTCACTGCGTTGTTGGCCATGTATCCTTGCCAAGGTCTGGCGGCCCAGGTGCAAGGTTTCGTGTTTGCGTCTATCGGTACTTTGCTACCGTCCGGACAGAAGTATCGGTAATCAGCAGGATTTTCTGAGGTCGGGACTGCAGGTGTCATGCCGACTGGCAAGCCGAAGAAGCGTTTCACGTAGATCACCTTCGTCCACGCTACCTCACCGCCATTATGCGCGAGACATCGCAACGCGCCTTCGTATCCAGAGTAAATGTCCGGGTAGTCGCAAACTTCCGGTTTCTCGCAAAGAGCGCACATATTCGAATAGGTTTCCTCTGAAAAATCGAACGCAAACGTGGTCAGTCATGAATATACAGTGACTGTAAAAAGTATACACAGTTGTATTTATTATAGGATTTATGTAATGCTTAATTAGACTTAGTAGTACTTTCATGTAAGTATACAGAATCGATATACGATGCAAGTATACAAAATAAAGAGCCTGCTAGAGAAAGAACACTTTAGGATAATAATAAGAATATGCACAGATATCTTTCGTAGCCACTTTAACAGTGCAATACGTGTGCGCAACATCATTTTAATACCGTCGAAGTACAACGAGTGGCGAACGTATCTGAGTATTTATTACGAATATGTTACACAAAATCTTCTGAAATTTCATTAATAAGATACGACTGTCATGATCATATCGATAGAAAAATGTGAAATCAATCTAGAAATGTATACGCCACGATACTCGCTAGTTATTGTTCGAAACTAGCTGCAACAGCATGCGATGAAAAGTTTCTCATTTGTCGCTTTGTTAGAAAAATTTACCAAATGTCCAGCTGGATAAATGGTAAAGCACAAATTAAAAATAAAAAAAAATAAATTTGTCGCTTCAGCGAGGGCTCAGCTACGATTTTAGATAGATAGCGACTTTAAATAGAATTGGTTCTATGTTACTATGGGTATTACCGCTATCGTCGTCGCTGTAGTTAGAGAAACTTACTAAGTCTGCGGTTGATCGCTGGATCCGGAGACCAGGTGCCGACCAAACATCCCTTGGAGAAGAGAGAACTCAACGCGCGTAGCTCGTTCTCGCGCGCTGAATATTCTGGATCGTGTAGATTGTTCAGCACTCCCATGTCAGTGAGTTTGGTGATCGGAATTTTGTAACCAACGTTACGGCCCACACCGGTGTGGCAGGACTTTAATCCACGCAAGCCTTGCACGTTGTTGATGTTCAGGTCCTTGTGTATCACGGCCACAGCTTCGTAACGATACGGCGCGTGTGGCTCCTCCTTTGTTCTCACCTGATGCAAATTCCAAGGTGAAATTGCGAAGAAACTATCTGCTGCCTGATTTCGACGATTTCGAAATACCTTTGTAAAAGCTTGACATTCTGAACAATTTTTTTCTCTCGCGAAAATGTTGGACTCTCGTAGTCCAACGAGATATTCGTAAAGAACTCTCGGATCGCTACCGATCCAATTTACCAATTCCAGTTCTATTTTTTCGATAGAAGATTAACAGACTGTGAATTTTTGTGCAAATTCTAAAATATTTTTACGAATATAATTAAAAAAATAGACAATTTCTTTACATATTAAAAACTATAACGATTTAAAATGTACAATAAATGTTGTACAGAAATTGTTTACGAAACTAACATACACTATCGTCGTAAAATAAATTAAAGAAATCCCCCGTCAATTCTTCTCGTACGTTTGCAAATCATAAATTAAAATTGTCTCACCTGTTCGACAATGTTGTAGCCGGCTTTCTCCTGCAGGTGGTTGTTCTTCGCCACCAGGTACATATCTTCCGGATCGACAGCTACCACATCGGCCTCCTTTTTACCAACCCTTTCGATGCACTCGTATCGATCGCGACCAGAGATGCACGAAATTGGAATTCCCTTGACAGCTGAGTCTTTGATCATGTCCGCGCATTCTTTCCAATACACCTCGGGGACGCATATCGTAACTGCAATAATAAATAATCATAAGAAATTGCCACTTTGTACACGAAGACACAGCCGACGTCCAATAAGATAAAATGCATGCTTGTTCTATTTCATATTAAAAAAAACATTTCTTTATTTTTCTAATTCTTCTAACACGAAGTTCGCAAACATCCGTACGCACTTGCAACGCCATAGGAGATTCTACCGCACTTACGGAAATTCTTTTGGATACCGCGGACTTTTAAGTGCGGATAAGGCACTCGAAAGTGTAAAATTGCACAGAACGCACATAATATGGAAAAATAGAATATTTTTGGTATTTTAGAACGTTCAAAACGCTTTCCGTAAGATTTGACAGGTAAAGCAAGTTTCCACCGAGATTCTACTTTTTTAATACTATTCTCAAAGATACGAATCCGCGATCTACCTATGACCACCTATAGCTATACATTGCACGTATTTTGCTTTTCGGATGTTCGCGTTTCGTTCCTGGAAAAGACAATTGATCGGAACACGTAGCTCTTGTAACCGTATTCTCATACTTACAGATTCGTTCAGAAGAATGAGCTGTGGTAAGAAGTATCACGTTCGTAAGGAACGCGAGAGCCGCGAGGGCAGAACGACGGAAGATCATAGCCGTCAGCGTACACAAATTATCTCGAGTAAAACGTCAAGAGAAGAGAATATAATATCGAACGTAAGAAAGATGCGCAACCGGATAGAAAAACTGAAGACGCGATAAACTGTTGCGAGATCCTACGAGCTGCTTTCAGAGCCTGCTCAGCCCGTTTATATAGAGGAGCGCCTTTTTCCTCGTCTTGTGTTCTCGCGTAATACCTGCGATCTGGAGGGAGTAATCAGAGACGGAGATAGATCATCGCGGCGTTGCTATAATACTTTCTCTCTCTTTCTCCGTCTGTTTCTGTTCTTCCCTTTTTCTCTTCCCCTCACCGAGGCAAATATTCGCGGACACATTTGCATAGCGCGAGTTCGCGCGCACAGGTAGCCACGGGATTTCGAACACCTCGAATCTGCATCTCAGAGCGGAGAGGAGCACGTCTGATCCAGTAACCGAAGATCTCGTATCGTCGTCAAGGCGGATAAAGAATAAACGTAAAATAAATGATCGTCGAAACCGTTCAGTCGCGTTTTGTTTGCCTGACGAGAAATACTCGCCGATTCGATTTCGCATCATGTTTTTGGCAAGCGAACTTGTTACCTTTGATAACTCGTCGCAGTGGAATTCGGAATTTTTTAGCTCTCGCGATCGATCAAAGATAAAGGTTACGTTTAGTCGGACGAGAAAGAACGATAACGAGTCAATGACTTTTCTGTTCAATGGTTTTTATCTCGAGAAAGATGCGGTCGGTTAAAGTGGCACGAAATAACCATGAACCTACCGTAATGTAATTTAACTGATAATACAAGTAAGTATTAATCGTTTATATAACCATGCATATTTTAACTTGTACGTGTTAAACTACATTTGCTTCCGACCTTGTCAAGACTCTCGAAACGTATTAAAATTTTAAAAGTTCACAAAGAATCGATAAAAGAAATCGATCAAGACATCGATCTAACAGCTCCAAGCTTCGAATCTCCGTGATCTTCTAAAACCTCGCTTCGTTATTGATATTCGAACGCCTCCTTGCTATCCACTCTGTGTCCGTTGCATCCCCCTACAGTTTCCTGCACCCCTATAAAATCCATTCTTTTCTCGTTTTCGCGAAGCGTATGTTTCACAAGGCGACACGGTTTACGAGCTAATCGACGGCGGTCGAGGATAGCTAGCAGTTACGGTCAACAATATGCCATGATTGGTCGATTGCGACGCGGTATGTTTTCGAATGAACGCGTGATTCCCCTCGCGTCAAGGTTACCACGACCCACCGAGAGTCTCTACATCTTTTCGCGACGAGAGACGCATCGAGTTTGATCGATGCGAAAATGCGAAAACATCTGCCTTCGATAACAATATAACCTGCAGCGTAACCTCGGGTTAACCTTTGCTCTTTGTTCAAATTATCGTTCCCGTTGTGTCATCGCGGAACAGTTAACGTGTTATCGCCGATCCTCGAGAAATTCTTTTTCGCCTCGAGCAAGAGGAAAAGTTAAACGGAAAAGCCGGGGACGGTATCTTTTGCATTGGGAAATTCCAGGGACTGTGACCTTACCGGGAGATTCGACCTGATCTTGGAAGCATAACAAATCTGTGTATGTTTATCCATCCGCAAAAATCGTAAGACGACAAAAAAGCAAAAACTATATATGATATGCGAAAGATTGTAACAGGCATATGTTTGTAGTAATCGTTGATACGAGTATATTTTAATACATTTACTTTATTGGTTTTTTAAAGGTAGAAGTATGTACATATAAATATTATTTACACAATCAAAGTCTACTTTACCATTCATAAATCACTAGTTTTATAAAAGGGTGAGTTTGTTTATACAAATATTACTTTTTACGATCAAAATATTTTTGCCATTCATAAGAAAAACCACGAATTAATACGATAATCTAGCCGTAAATATCGAATAGAAATTTTCTTGCAATTTTGTAATTAACTTTTAAACAACCTACGTTTACGTATTTTTCATTCATATTCATATCGCCTGATGAATTATATCGGCAGAGTTTGGGAAAATCTGCAGGCGTTTTGCATATTCTCGATCGAAGAGATACAGCGATGTTCGCAAATTAATTAGGCTTGAAACGCGATAATTTTGATAGATTGTTTCTGATACGTTCAACACGATCGTAAAAACGCACATATGTACATTAGCCGGAAGCTGCATATGAAATAGAAACGACGACTAAGCATTCTAAATTGAATGAAACGATATAAATTGAATGAATCGAAACAAAGATCGCAGATCAGATAATTTTAAAGAAGGCGGTACTAGTTACAGTTACAAAGCCGGATAAGTTGGTAACCTGCTATTTTCCGAACTTGTCTCACGGAGCGACGATTCTTGACTATTGTTCTGAACTACATGCGCTACACACGTTCGTTTCATTATTTCCGATCTGTGTTTTCGGGAACGATTAGAGCGTAAACGCAGAGTATCTTTCAATTCGGCAGTCAGATTGTTTTCCTGTATTGACAATTGCTTTAACATCTTCACCGACTCGCTGTATGTTCGTTTCCAGATTTCGATCTCTCCTTCGATCTTTGCCAACTCGGCTCTGTTTCGTCTTATAAGGTCGCGAACCAACTGTAACACGAAACGTAAGTGCTTCGTCTTTCTCTGCTTCGTCTCAACGCGCGAAAAGGTAAATTTATTTCGAAACTTACCCTATGTTCGGTAATCCTTTTCATCCCTCCTGCGAACAGCGTTTCCTTATCGTAGTGCTTAGCGTCACGAGCTGATCTGATCAGCTGTGAATGAACAACAAGCGTCAGATTTTTCGCAATCGAAGTAAGTTTAACGAACTTACGGGGAAACTTTCGTGAACTGTATTGATTGTGACCTGCGATGATTAGAGTTCGCGTATTTATGCACATTTAAGCGAAGCATGACAACCTGGAGAACATAGACTTCAGAAAGAGGAAAGGAGACGTTTATATCGTAAAACCAGCCAACGGACATTTGAATACTGGAAAGTATGCAAAAGAAATTGATAAAACAAGCCTGAGCGTGAAAGGAATGCTAGCTGAGGAGAAAGCAGAAAGAGGGGGAGGGGAGGCAAAGCAAAGGGGGCTACTGTGCAAAGTGTGAAACGAAAACAGTATCCGATGAAACGGCTTTAAGTAACTTTGCGGCACAAAAGTACTTCATAGCAAGTCAAAGGTAGTTTTAGAGTAGGAACAGTGAATGAATCATCAAAGAAATAATTATGCAAGACAGATTCGGCAACAGTGTGTGACAGAGATAATGTACATACTACGATCTATGTAACCAAGTTCAATTTTTGCGCTAACAAGTTGGAATGAATAAGTTATTGCTACTACTTTACGAAAATTCATCTTCATGAAATTCATGTAACTTAAAAAATGCAAGCTTACTCGAATACCGATCTATGTAGGAAATTCTTCAGAACATCTGCCGGTAAATGAATCGAAGTTTGGAAACGGGTGAGTCCGAAGTACGACCAGACCATTGTTGACTATTGTTCTCGCGTAGCAACGATCTGGCGCAAACTGATTTATCGGCAGAATTTCCAAAGAATTATTATGTCGATATAGATGAATCGTTATTACGTAAGTGGACCAGAATGCGAAGAAAATAAATTCTCCCTGTATTTCGGATAAATGCCAATAATAACATTTTCTGTTACTTGAGAGATGCTGTTAAATGTCGCGAAAGAATTTGTCATTCGCAAGGAAGTCGAAAAATGCCCATTTCTTAAGGTATCTTTTTTCATAAATGCATAAGCGTCTGCAGTCTATCGACGATACTTTGAAACCTTCTCGGGCTCTCACCTTTTCTGGTCGCAGGTTTTCTTCGTACTCCTGCAATCCTTGCATCCCGTTCTCGTATTCACAGTGGCATGTTTGACACGAGGTGGTGTCATTACCAATCTGCAATTCTTGCAAGGCGAGGAATTTTTCTTTTCGAATCTTTCTGGGTCTCCCGATTTCCCGATTTGCGGGCCTCGCTCGCTTCCTCGATGTCAAAACTACGTCCTCCGTATCACTTTCTGCACTGTCGTTGCAATCAGTACGCATTTGACTCATTTTTGCAGATAAAATGGTCACCTAGTCCTCCGTAAAATCCATTTAGCACTCTTCTAATTGTTCTATTTTCTGTTTGCATTGATCGATCTTGTCTCGGCTGATGCAACACGCGTTTCGCAGGAATGCCAAGCTCTGTTCCGCTTCCGCCAACCCGATCGCGCAGCTTTTCACCTTCGAACGAGTTATGATTCTTAGTTATACATCACAATAAGTGTTGGAATTCTATTAGAAATCTCGAAATTTCGCTTTAAGCAATTTATTAATAGTTAATTTAAATTTTAGTTTAATTAATACAATGTATGTTAACGCACATCAGCACGCTGGCAGTGTTACTCTAAGATAGATAAGTGACGATTTTAGTTAGGAGAGCGAGGGAATAGGCTTCGTTGTTAAATGGTTAAACGAAGGGTCTTGACCGCCGTCGAGAGAAAATTGGTAGTAGGAGGTAGGTCCCTTGTCAAGCCGTGATAGACAATAGTTTTTAGAAATTCTTCGGAAACGGACGTTTGTTTGGCTCGAAGGACCTCTACTAGGAAATCTATGAGATTTATGGAAGGTACTTGAGACTATTGAGGGTACGCAGTGAGTATCCAAAGACATCTGGTTGCCATCCTGTCAGCGGTGTGTGGCCTCGGCTAGGTAGAGTGTTACGCGACGTAACGGCAAATAATGCTAAATCTTATAACGGTTCTATAGGATTATTGCGGCCCTGAATAAGTATGGCCAAGGGATTTACAGATTTATGATTTATGGTAGTTTTGGTATGGTTAGTACGTCCCGGGACGTAATAACGTAGAACAATTATCCATTGTAGCAGCACGAAGAAATAATATAATAATTGACGGCACCAGGGATAATCCTTGTAAAACTAGTGCGCCATTCAACGTGTTAAATAACTCGAAGAAACTGACATTACCCTACATACTAATTTCATATGTTATACTATATTTACTACTATGTAGATGATATCATCTAGCATGATTTTACCTTAATCTCCGCTTCTACCTTAAGTCTCCTATGACGACAAAGAAGGTGCCAATAATCTGGCTTCAATCGGCTCTGCAGTCCTTCCGGTAATCTGTCTAATTCATCCAAAGCTCGAAGATAGCTCGAACATTCTCGAGGCAAGATGTCAGAGTTTCGCTGTTCTATGATACAAACAGCGAGTTCAGTGAGAAACGCAGCCGACGTACCGCAGGGTCCATGCGCGATTAACAATCTCGGTCTTTTGCGGTATTGTCGGAACAGATGCTCCGGCACCGATGGTTTTAGTTCGGCAAACTCCGATCTAAACTTTCTTTCCAGCCGCTTATCTCGTTTACGTGCGTTCTCATAGCTGACTCTTAATTCCGCGACACCTGCCTCGAACAAATCTCGTTCTTCGGCAAGTGTGTCAGCCTCCTTCGTCGCGGGTACAAGTTCCAACTCGATAGTCCGTCGTATCTGCTGTCTTTTCTGAACGATTTTTCGATGCTCTAGGATCGCCTGCATTTTGGTCAATCTCTGTGAGAGCATCGATCCTTCGATTTGTATCTTTTCTTTGGATAGTTCGTTCAATTCGTCGTCGAAAGACTTTGCGCCGTTCGAGAATTCTCCTGAAACACGGACAATGGGTGATTCGTGTCGATTCACCTTCGGTTTTAAATGAAATACGCAGAACAATAGGTCTATTTTCAAGCTCAGTTTTCATTGCTCCCGGGTCACCATCAACGATGCAACAGTACCTAGCAGGGACTCAGTCCTGGTCATACCTGGGCATGACCTTGGACAGGAGACTAACGTGGAAGAAACACATCTCAGATAAAACGAAGCAACTAAAGGACAAACTAAAAAAACTCTATTGGCTCACGGGCCCAACGCTCCAAACTAAACATACAGAATAAAATTACCCTCTACAAGACCGTAATAAAACCTGTCTGGACCTACGGAATCCAACTATGGGGAACAGCAAGTAACTGCAACATCGAAATACTACAACGATTCCAATCGAAAACGCTAAGATCCTTAATAGACGCACCTTGGTATGTTACCAACGAAACCATCCATCGCGACCTCAAGATACCCAGAGTCAAAGAGAAAATAGCAAAATACAGCGACAGATATAGCAAAAGAGTGAACAAACACCGAAACCCCCTAATCACTGGACTACTTGACACGACGGACCAGATTCGCAGGCTGAAGAGGCACTACCCGCTAGACCTAAACGCTAGATTCATTTAGTTATCCAAATTAAGCATATGCACTTACTTATAATACCTACAAATTATACCTATCTATAATAAGAATTAACTTATTGTAAATATACAGCCATGTCACTGCGCCACGCCAGAAAAATTACTGAAAATTCTCAACGCGAGAATCGATTGTAATTAAACAAATAAATAATAAAAAAAAAAAAGTTTTCATTGCTAGACTGCTGATATTTACGCATTTATGAAAAGTTTGTAGGTGCAGGAATGCAAAAAATATTCGTCTCTAGTAAGTAATAACACTCTCTAGTCAATAGGAGATGCAGCTGTCTATCTATGTTTTGAGATTATAGGATTATAGGATTATTATGTTTCTATTTGGAGATTATAGGGGGATAAGAGGATGTCCTCGGTTTATGACAGAACAGCGTGTGCTATTTTTGAGAAATTGGAATTTATGACATAGCACATTGTAAAGTCTATTTTATCATTGTAAAGCCAGGTATGCAAAAGAGGCACCGCCTGGGAGACATTCACGTCAATTCGACAATCACAGAATTGGACAGAGGTTCGTACCTCTGGAAATTTTGACGAAAACCCACTGCCTAGAACGACACCTGAAATATAAGCATTAGGCTCTTCCAGAAAGGACTTACGCTCAATTTACTTTTAAGACCAATCTTTCTCGTTCAATGATCGATTGGAAGTAATTATTTATCGAACATCTTGCAACGTAAAGTTAGTTGTAAGTAATTAAAAACATACACAAGAAATTTGCACAACTTCGAATGCTCAAGCCACATCGTGAAATCTTTTGTTTTTATTTGGAAGAATTTTACAACCAATTCTCATTGAGAATTATAAGTAAATTATTCTGGCGTGGTACTATATCGCGTATAATAGGTGATTATCGTACGTTTGATTCTAGCTGAATCTAATGTTTAAATTTAAAGGGACACCGTAAAATGGCAAATCGACGTCTGACCGATCCTGCCGTTTGTTACGGCACGTGCTGTTGCAACATAAATCGTAAAAGGCAAGGGGTTAATATCGTTCAAGGTTCGCGACTCCAAGCGAACAGTTGCGATTTAACTGATAGTCACCTAATCGAGAGGTAGCAACAATGTTACGTTTCTTTGGTCATACCACTGATCCTTTCGATCTCGGCCTCCAGCATCGACTTGTACCTCTGCCGATCGACTTCTCCAGCGCGAATCTTCTCCTCGTACGACTCGATTGCCCGAATGTCCTCCTCTGTGTAACTAGCTGCATCTTTCCGGGTGAGACAGTCGGGTTTCGGAATGCTTCTCTTTGCATCGTGTTCCAATCTACGGCAGCCGAGGTCGCGTTCAAAACTCAAGACTCGCATCGTCACATCGAGCGCGTAACAAACGAAAACGACAAATTAAGGCTTTTAATAATTAAGGCAAGAGACGTCTCCGTCTGCAACCGCGTTTGGTCTTAGTTTTCTTAATATTAGTTACGTTTCAATCGGTGATTACAATCACTCTTAAACGATAATTCCTTTTATATTTACAAAATAAGCGAAGGCTCCAGAGTAATTCTATCGTTATTTGACTAGAATTTACTGTATACAGATCCTTTCTTAAAAAATTCCTCAATTTTATATTTCGACTGTAGTATCGTGGAAATTAAGATATGAATTTTTTCCCGATTACTTACAATTTATTAATAACGAATTGAATATTAATTGGATGGAAAACGATGTTTGTTTAACTGAAACTAAATGCGATAGTCGTATCTATCTCAAATAACTTTACAGTTATTTGGCAACTCTCGTCACAACGAATCTAACATACACACACTCTCTCTCTCTCTCTCTCTCATTAGCAACTCCAACAACTCTACAGCACTGCCA